CCCCCTCTCTTCCCCCTCTCTTCCCCCTCTCCCTTCTCAAATATTTCTATTTGTCTGAAGTGTTTTTCACAACATTACCTTGGTTGAGATTTTTAGCATTTTTTTAGCTGAGAAATAGTATTGGTTTAAGCAGTTTCTAGGCAGCTGCCAGGAAAGTATTCTGTGCTATTAGAGGTGCTGGATTTAAGACAGCTTTCCTTTGCTGGTTAAACTCTGGAGCTTGTAAGTGCACAAGTTAAAGTATTTCTCTTGATCTAAGGCCTGAATGATAGTTCAGGTTTAGTTGGGAGATCTGGTTTGTACAGAGTTTGTCTTTTACAAGAGTTTGGGTGGTGCTGTGAAGCAGTGTGTTTGTAACAGCCTCTCTCTCTTCTCTCTCTAGATTGTTTTGCCTCCCCACTTGGAAAGGATTAGAGAAAAATTAGCAGAAAACATCCATGAACTTTGGGTTATGAACAAGATTGAACTTGGGTGGCAGTATGGACCAGTATGTACCTTCCAACTTAATTTTCTGTTAATTGCCTAGTACTATTTAGCACATTGGTTTCAGTGTGCTAATGGGACAGCATTATTTTTCCATCCTTCAAAACTTGTAAAAAGTAAAAACTTTCCACCAGAAGCAGGTGGAAACCAACAGTGCTTGTGTACTTCTGAACCAAAATTCTGGTATTGGAGTTGTTTGGTGCTGACATTTTCATCCATTCTAACTGACAGCACAGAGAGCACACAGTGTGTTTTCACTTTGTTTTATGAAAAATAAATATTGCTTGTAGGAAATTCCATTAAATCAGCTTTTCTCCTTTTTTTTTTTCCCTCCCCACTTCTTCAGGCTCATGTCTGTATTAGGTCCTCCACATAGCTATCTGTTTATTATTTTAAATCAATTATAAAAAGCATACAAGGTAGTTATTTGGATCCCAAATGGTCTTGCTTATGAACTCTTGCTGTGAAGAGTTTATAGAAACATCCAGTAGATACTAGATGTAAATTTAAAAATGTGTATGCATGTATAGAATCATGTTTATATTCTATTTTTGTTGTTAAAAATGTTTTGGTCTTCTGAGGAGTTCACATTACAAATTTAATGTAACTGGACATAGGTATTATATTTGGTGTAGATATGGCAGCACTTAAAAAAGATTTCATTAGCAGAGAATATCTCTGGATTTGTGATGTTGTTGCTTTCCCCACAGAACCAAACACAAAGCTCCAGTTCAGGTAATGTGTTAAAACGTTTTAATTGTGGTATAATCATACCAACTGTGAAGCAATCTGCAGGAAATTTTAGTCTGCTGTCACTTACCATCAAGAATCTAACTGTACAGTTGAACACTATTTTAATTTGAACTGTATCTGGTAAATCTCAAGTTAAGCAGCAATACATGTTGTAGTTATATTCAGAATGAAACCGGGTGTGAAATCTTTTAAGTTATTTAGCTGTATTTCTCTAGCTGTGGTGTTCTGTGGTGGGATGTGCTCACTTTGGGAATGTGGCCAAGGATAAGCTGCTCATCTGCTGGAGGTTCCCTCCTTTATCATACTGGTTTCTCACAGATGATTTAATCAGTTTAAGCCACTGTTGGCACTTCTTGTTTTCTGAACTGATGCACTGCAGTTGTGAATGCAGTTACTGAATACTGAAACAGAAATGAGCTTGTTTAGACGCACACATACATGTTCTCTAATCTTAGTTAGATTTGGTCTTTTTAATTCAGAGCAAGATGCATTACATAAGTAGCTAGCTTTTCTGAAAAGGTGGTGGTTTTTTTCACAGTGTCAAAAAGTTTGAAGTCTAAAAGACAGAAAATCTGCAGATTAAATGTCTCTCCAGATTATTCAAGAAACCTGTTGTAGGTTGCATTTTATATTCCCTCCTACTTACCTGTTGCATGAGATCTGTGTGCAGTATGACCAAAGCAATACCCACTATTGCATGCAGTGCTGCTTTTTGTACATGAAACAAGGCAAAATAACAAGCTCATGTTGTTAACTTGTTTCATTATAAATCTGAATATGAGTGGTATTTAGGTGTTTAACTTAAAATCATCAGATTCATCTCCATATCTTTGTTTCTATTAAATTTCGCTGTATGTTTAAAACTAGCCACAAAAACTAAGGATTGATAGGTGTCATGGGTTCTGCCACTTCTATGAGGTATTTGCAAAGCAGTAGATTTTTATACTGTGCTCAGAAGAAAAAAAAAAAGGGAGGGGAGCAGGAAGGCAACCTACAACAAATGTATTTTTTCTTCAGGGGGAAATTCAATTAAGATTGCAATTCTGAGGAAAACACCTGATGTCCAAGATTTAAAGTAGCTGTACATGGATCTGAACCAGTCCTTCTTATTGGAGACTGTACTGAATCTTCATTGCCATAGGCCTTAAAAATTTGCAAATAAACCTGTTCAGTGTCTGCTGAAAGATGTTTCTCAGCTGCTAATGGGTCTGATCAAGTAGCTTATCAGTTGAATTGCTTTTATTACCTGTCCAAAGAACATTAATCCCATCAAATGCAGACAAATATCCTGTGGAGATTGTAAATATTTTTCAGTCCAACACATAAACAGATGACTGCTGTTCAGTTTCATAATTATTATATGCTCACATCAAAATGCAAAAATGTGTTACTCAGAAATGTTATGGAAAAATTTAGGTTTTTTTTCATGAGATTATATTACTACTGTGGTTTATTTACAGTTTAGTTACTGTTATAGAAAAAAAACACAGAACTGGCAAAAATGAAATGTCATGCCAATTTATATGCTGCTGACTTTCTTACCCTTTTTAAACACAGATGTGATGCTGTGTATGAACAACTGCTCAAGCTACAGAGAATGGGTTATATGCAGTTCAGTGGTACCCCTTCACTGAGAATTCCTGCCTTGGGCTTTTTTCAGCTAGAATAGTATAAAAGCCATTCTATATTCACCAAACGAGTAGAGATCAGTTAGGAAAAAGTATAACGATTAGGCTTCTTAACATCAACTATTAGATAATTCTCCTGGAAAATGGAGTGTTGATTGATCAAAAGTGGTCAATGATGTTATTTTTCAATAACTTTCACTTTGCAGCTTTGAAGATTAATAAAAATGGTGAGCTTATGGTCCATGAAACATGCACTCAAAAGTGTTTTAATATGTGGGTAAAGATGTAGTCTCAACTGAGCAGAGGCTAACGTTTTCATTGGGATGTTTTAGGTAATATTTTTCAAACTAATGCTTTTTATCCAGCCTTCTAGCCAGATGTAATCTTTGTAGACTTTGTTGGCTGAGATCTATCCTTTCTATCAATATTTTCATAGTGTAAGCTCTTCAGTCTGGATGCATAATTTTTCAAACATAGTGCTAGAGATGAGTTGTTATTTGATGCCTGTATGTCAAAACATCACATAGATTGCACTATTCTTGAACTTTGCCTATTTGTTGTGAACATCTGTATCATGAAATGTACAAATTAACATTTATTCCACTTGAGATCTGCAAATCTGAAGTTCATTTGCAAATGAAAATTCTGCCTTACCTGAACAGAATGCACAGGCTCTCTGAATATAGAATACTTGCTGTTTCGAAGTGTTGTTCAGTTTGAGTGATTCTGAGAGGGTCAACTTTAAGGACTTTCTGGTTTGAACTGTTTTTAAATTTCTTCAGGTTTTTAAGACACATTAAACTTAGTTCTTAACTGTCTTTTCAGGTTAGAGATGACAACAAAAGACAACACCCATGCTTAGTGGAGTTCTCAAAATTGCCGGAACAGGAAAGAAATTACAACTTGCAAATGTCACTTGAAACGCTGAAGTAAGTTGCTAGAACTTCGAAAGCGTATAGTGAGAGCTTCCTCAAGAGTTGCAGTTTCCAGAATTATAATTCAGCATACTAATTACAATTTGACATGTAGGTGAGGGTAATAATATGAAAAGTTCTTCGCTGTGAGTGCGTTGAGAATCTATTAGTGTAATTTCTTCTGTATGTAGCATCATGTAGCCAACACATTAAAATATTTCTCAAACTGATAAATGGCCAGTGGCATATGTGGTTCTCCAGTCACTGCTGTCTGCAGTCCACTGAAATCTGTTCTTTCTTTTTTTTTTTCTTGTTAAAATATAGCTGCTTTTTTCTGTTCAGAGTGTTAAGAAACAGTGACTGGATGTGGTATTACTTTTCTGGAAATATTTTTACTGTATTACTAAAAAATGCATGTAAACTGCAATATAGTGTTTACACTCATAATATAAGGACTTTATGTCCTCATGATAGAAAACTAGGTATGGCACTCCCAGAATTTCTCATAATGACTTCTCTGGTCAGCTTCTCTGTGCTGCTGGCTGATCCACCATTCCCACACCACGTAAATTACACAATGAACAACAAATTTGTTACCCTAAGTGTTAAACAATTTTTGGCACTATCTAGAGATAAAGCATTCAGAGATAAATAAAACTCCACTGGAGGCAAGAAAATAAGCTCATATTGGTCTTCAGGTAGATACTAGAATTTTAAGGAAAGCTTTTGAGATCCCTGCCAACACAACAGTGTGCTAAGAATCCAGAATGGCTTCTTCCTTTCCAATTTATGAAACTACAAAAGATGATGTCATTAACAGTTGGATTTTTTGCTAGAATAATCTATATAATAGGACTTGAGCATTCTAAAAATCATGCTATCAGAATTAAATGCACACTCGTAATGTTTCACTAAATATTAAACAAATTTTATTAGTCCTTACATGATTACTGGTTCAGGACCCAGTGCTTTTTCTAAATCTGACAAAACAAAAAATAATTTGGTTGCATAAACATATCAATTACGGATTACTTTTAATCTAGTATTTTTAGTACTTATTCTAGAGAGAGCCTTTTCATTAAATGGATAGTGTCCAAGACATAAAGCATTCAGTCTTTTTGTGGATTTCAAAATTTGTATGCTTGCTGAGCTCAGTCTTTATTTCATTGTTGTATTAGTCTTTGTTTTCTGAAGTAAACAGTTCTATTTTTGCAATATCATATTTATCACATAAACACCTGTTCAGGGACTAGATTATGAGTGTCTCACTCAGTTCATTTCTGCAAGCTTGCAAAGGTGGAAAAATCAGTGCACTAATCCATTTGAGATGATCCGTACTGTGATGACTTGAATTGTAAGCAACTGTGACTAGTTCTCTGCTAGATGTTCCTAGTCTACTATTGGTCAACCTCAATGGAGGAGAATGAGGAAAAGGGAAAGAAATGTTAAAACTTCCTCTAGTCAGCTATATGCTATATTCCTTACAATTTGCATCAAACTATGTTCTGCATGCTCCAAGTAGTTGGAAGACATCAAGAGTAACTCTTGCTGTGATTGGTTTGTTGCCAGTTTTGCTGCCAGCTATACTAGATGAGAGAGGCAGAAAGCAAGGAAGTTCTGAGTCGTATTATCTGGCACAACATTTCTTTTCAATATATTGAGGTCTCTGTATAGTTTTCAGTATTAATAAATGCTTTTACGAACTATAAAAATGATATACTATATGAAATGCCAAGATTCAGGAATGAGTTACCTCTGAAAATGTCATGGGAGTAAAGTATGTTTGCTTATATTGTTTTCACACATACTTTTATATGTTTTGTAGTTTCATCTTGTATTTTTTTGATGCTGCTATTTTGTGACTGACTTTCCCATTTCTAGCTGTTTACTCAGTTGTGTGTGATAATTGTGTGTATCATTATGGTGCCGAGGACTGCATTCAGCCACTTCTAGTTTTCTTGTTTAGCTTTGAAGTGCTTTAGGGGTCTCAAGTTCTACCAGCATAGATGAGTCTGCCTGAAAAGCAAATGGGAGTGCAATTAAAATCTAACTCTTGATCTCTGCTTGCCTTTTTATCTTGCTGTGACTCTGATTTGAATTTGCTGAGTCTGGGTGGAGATGATGTAGGGTTCAAATTCCTGTCTTACATTACAACAAATATTGGGTTAGGAGGGGTTAGCTCCTCTGCACTGCTTTCCACTGCTACATATGTTCTCTGACTTGCGCTGGTGATAGCTGCAGAGGAATCGAGTGCGATTTATGCCAATTGAGATTTAGCTGCATGGAGTATTCTTGGCAGATGGTGTGTTTTGCAGGAAGTGGCCATTGCATGTTGATTTTCTTGTTACCATCTGATTTTAAATCCGGGTTCACAGACCATAACAGTAGGATATATTTCATGTACCTAGCACTAAAAATATGCTGCAAGGGCCTCCTTGAAACATACAGCTCATTTACCATGAGAAATACTGCTGGAGCAATACTTCTGCTTTTTTTTTTTCCCCAGTTAGTTCAAGAGCAGTAAATACAGTTAGAGCAAGACTAGAAAATATTGTCTTATCTGGGGACAAGAACGAATAAAAACCAGGATTTATTTTCATTTCAGTGTTAATCTTTTAGTAATGCACTAGGCTAAAGAAACTAAGACGTGATAACCCAGTATTGAATGTAGGTGCAGAAACAAATAATTGATGAGTTGCAGATTGAATCACGGAGATGCATTAGATTTAAGATGTATACTGCTGGATAGTGCAGATCTAAGGCATGAATACTGTTACCCCTGTTGTAAGGTTATGCAGAGCATGCCTGTTGTTTGACAGGAACTGCTGTCGGTCCTCTCTTCAGTAGCATGTCCTAACAAAATTCAAATCCAATTAAAATCTTCAAGTAACTCTGACACATTGTAAGGATAACAACTGACATTCCCTGCCTTTTCTCCTTCCATCAGCTTTGAAGTAAATAACATTACATAAAAAGATTTTGATATAAAGCAGTATGAGTGAGTACATAAGCAGTATGAATAAGTATATAAAGCAGAAATGTATATTTCAAGGGCAGGAAATCTTTCAGCTGATGCCTCATGTAGAGGAAATAGCCTGTATAATAATTCCATTTTGAAGTAGTCCACTCATATATTTACTAAAATTTTTAGGAACATCTCGTGGCATTTTCTTAACACTATCAGAAAGCTTATGATGTGTGTCAAAAGGCTGGTGTTGATCTTTGTGTATTATATTGTTGTCATTCCCATAGGTCTCATTTGTTGAAAAGTGTTGTTTATGTACCCAGCAGCAACTCTTAATACAGAAACATTGGCAGTAATTTATCTCTGATTTCTGTGTCCTAGAACCCTGCTGGCACTAGGCTGCCATGTTGGAATTGCTGATGAACATGCTGAAGAAAAGGTGAAAAAAATGAAACTTCCAAAGAAGTAAGTTGAAATTCAAATGGATATTTTTCTTAGACAGTATGAGTTAAGAGAACTGCATTTGAGCAATTTGATATTTATATTGCTAGTTTTATTGGTGCCTGAGTATGCAGGTGTGCATATGAATTTTCAGAAATTTGCGCACATTGTCATAGCTTTTCTTTTAGACATTTACAATTTGATGTGTAGACAAAGATTAGGTTCTCTGTGATTCATTGAAATGTCTGGCCTTCACTGTTACGTAGTTCTTTTACATCTGGCATGTACCGTGGAAGCTTGATAAAGAATTTTTACAGCAAACTTGTCAATATATTTTTCTGTGCTACAAATATTTAAAAGTGGCTATTTTGGAAGTCTGAGAATGACTGTCTTGAAGTAGAGGCAACTGATGTAGCTGCCTGAGTTACTGGTCCCCAGCGCTGGTGAGGCTGCACTCAGGTCGGTGTGGGGTAGTGGTTCTGAACTCCTGTGACCCGGCCAAGGGGTCCTGGCTTCTTTCTGAGTACCAGTTTGGGAATGAGGAATTTGGGAACTTTAAAGCTGAAACATTGAAAGTAATGGAGATGTGCCTGGTGATATACATATAGACAGCCCTACGGTCCAACATACATTGAAGCCCATGGTTTTTAAGTTTCTCTGGCTTAAAATTCAGTGGGATATATGAGGATTATAATATGTGAAAGGTAAAGGTCACAGTTTCAGTATGTGAAAACTTAATGAGTATTCATTTGCATCCTGAAATAAGGTATATGTGTCCTCTGTGACAAAATTGTGAGCATCCTTTGCGATACCTGGTTCTTTGACCCTACTTTTATCTCAAAATAGCTGTGGCTATCATAGGTTGTGTGTGCACAGTGTAACACTCATATGGGGAAGTGTGATGGGAAAGGATGCAGTAGGAAGCCTGACAAATGTGTTAATTCTGTGTGATTCACCATTTCCATTACTGACTGGTTTTACCGGTCTAACTGAAACGGTGTTCCAGAAACATGAGGAGATGTCACCGTGAGGGCAGTTAGAAAGCACATGCAAAGTTGCAGCACAACTTGCTTAATTCTGTAATAGAAATGTGCTGATTGGTAACTATGTGAACAGTTGATTTTGGACTGATGTCCTTGAATTGTTGTTTTCAGACTTAAACTTTTTTTTTTTATTGTGGTAATTTTGAAGGTCCCGGCTCATGTTTATAGATTATAATCCCTCTTAAATACTTGCTTGCTTTCAATTACTGTTTTCAAGCAATAATTTGTTTAAATGGGTTTTGGAATAGTCATCACAGAAGAGAATTAATTAAGTTTTGCAAAGTATTTGAATATTTTAGAATATAAATGGTGATGAGTGCTGTTTCTTTTTCTGGATTTCATTTTGTGAGTCAGTTCAAATAAAGAAAATACAAGAAAGTGCCAAACTTGTTTAGAAAATAATTGGACAATTATTTAAACTAGCCATTCTTTAAACACTTCAGCATGTATAATTTCAGCGAGAGAATGTTGTTGTTTATTTTCCACAGACCCCTTTTGTTATGACCAAAATAGCTCTTTATTTTGTCAGTGTGCTCGAGGAGAAATGCTCAGGGATATTCAGGGCACATCCGCCAGCCCCGACTTGGCCTCTCCTGGGGCCTAAAACCAGTGAGGAAGCTGTCTTTCTCTTCTGAAGCCATGCTTAAATTTTAAACATTTGCTGTGATTTGAAGGACAGTTAAAGTATGAAGTATTATAAAGACAAACTTTTATTAGACAGACTTCATACATGATCTCAAGTAAGCTACTTGACATACTCTGGCTCTTACATCCCTATATATTATAGGAAGAATATATTTTCTTGCTTGAGTAGGGGGTAGATAGAATTTAATAAGTGGAGTGCTCAGAGGTAACTATTATAGCATTCATATAAGTATTTAGATAAGCAACAACTTAATCTAATATTTTAAATATGTCAAAGTACTAAAGTACTTTAAAACCAATTTTTGGTCCTGACCCTTTTGTGTAGGTTTCATTGCCAGCCACTTCATCCCATCAGCCTACAATTAGCTTGAAACAAAATCAAGTATCAGTGCATTACTATTCTTTATGTTCAAAGACAGATTATTTATATAGATATATTGCATAATTGTAACTTCTTTGTGGTTTCTATTAATTTTTTTCCTACTGAAAAGTACTGTGTTTTTTGGCAGCTACCAGTTGTTGAGTGGATATAAGCCAGCTCCCATGGATCTGAGTTTCATTAAGCTGACCCCCTCTCAAGAGGCTATGGTGGATAAACTGGCAGAGAACGCACACAATGTGTGGGCACGGGACCGTATCAGGCAAGGCTGGACATACGGTATCCAGCAGGTAAGTGCTGGCTTCAGGCACTTGAAGAAGCACTTGTCTATTGAGATATTTCACTGTTAAATGGGAATAATGGGGGTACAAAACCAGGAAGAAGCAGATAATGAATGCAAGTCTGTCGGTCAAAGAAAGCAAAAATACATAATTAAAGCAATCCTGGTAAATCTCCTAGCAGTATGAGACTCTTCTTTTACAAGCGGTATTAAAAAATTGATGGTGTATGTATGCTATCTAGATCTCAGGGTGAGAAAATTGCATGCAGGAAGCTAATGTGCTCTAGTATTTTAGGAAACGTAAACATTGACTTTCAGTAGGGGAATCATTTAAATGTTTACAGTCCTGGGAATTGAATAATTTTGTTTATCCAGGAAAATCAGAATGTAAACTTCTAGTAATCACTTTGCTAATGTGTTATGTTTCTGGCAGAGGCCCTGTTTAACGAAGCATAGTTAAGTCCAGTCTCTCCAGTGCTGCTTTAGTGGGTTTGTTTCAGTGACTGGGAACATGATGTGGTAGGGATCACAATGCGTTATGAGGGAGGGGACTAAAATTAAGCACAGTGGATTGTTAGCAGTGAAACTCAGGGTCTTTGTTTTCTTTTAAAAAAAATCAATCAGATATACAATAAGCATAATTTATTATTTTTCAAGACAACTACTATATCTATACAACTAGGAGTTGTATTTTTTATTGTGTTTATTTGTGAATTTTATATAGAGAAAAGTGTCTTTACTTCTGTTAATAAATGTGTGGAAGCATATCACAGTGACATTTTAGGAAAATTCACCCCTTGTAGAAAAAAATAGCATAAGGGATCATTATTTTTGCAAAAATGAGAAACAACTGTTTGGTAGGTATATGCTTCTGCCTACAAACAGTATTTTTGTTTTTGACAAAAATTCAAGTTATGCATTTCAGTTCAGTGCATTTTAAATTTTGTTGTTTCTTTTTTTTTCCTACAAGACCAAAATTCATTCTATTTTGCAAAGCTTTTGTATAAAAAAGAAGTAAATCTGGCTTTATATATATGTTAGGCACTTAAATTCACTTTAACGCATACTGACAAAATACATTTAAGTGACAAAATATATGCTGCTTAGCATTTCAGCATTGTCCATTGTAGCATCCTACTATAAAGCTCTCTTCTTGGTAATTTGTAAAGTTAACATTTCTGATAGCATATTAATGATGAGCAGCATTGGAAGTGGTGGCTTGCTGGTGTCAGGCAGAGGGAGCAGGTTCATTCACCTTAACCTCATGATTTCAATCCTGTGTTTATGGAGGCAGTGCACAATTCATTTCTAGAATGACAGTCAGTATGTCTTGAGATGCTCAAAGGAAATATTTCTGATATATTAAATAATGCACTCAATAATTTACACCATGACTCCCGTATTTTCCAGTCTCCCAGATGCCAAACATTTTCAACATAGGGCCTTGCCAGTCAGGAGATTGAAAATGAATGAGAATTGGGAAATAGTTACTGCTTTGATAGAACCCTGACATACCCCAAAATTAAATTTAGTTTTGCAACAGAATTTATTGGTAAAGGTGAAGTTAAGAAGTTTCTGGCATCAAACAAATCTCTTAGCTAATTATGTTCCTAACTAGCAATTTAAACCCACAACTCATATGTAAGAAAAAGTTTCTTCAGTCTTGAAGACAATTTAACCTACCCAGTGTACCTCTATATCTTTGGAAATAAAAACCCACAAATAATTTTGCCATATTTATTGGAGTGAATTTGCAGTTAAATTATGTATTTTCTAAACTAGTGAGGTATTAAGTAAGAAAGGCAGCTAAGCGATGCTATCAAAGACTTTTTCAGTGTTACTGGATTGGGAATGATAAGCAAAAGATGTAGTGGGAATGGGTGGCAATAAATTAAAAAGGTTTTTCTCCTTTACACAGTGCGTTTATATACTGTGTATGTTTTGGTGTGCCTGTTGATAGGGAAGTTGCTGCTTTTGAGGAGGCTGATGTGATGGTAGTCAAGCATTACTTTTATTATGGTTCCCTAAAGGCAGTGGAGTTGCACCAGGCCGCAGCTTTGGTTTAAAAAAGAAAAAATAAATGCTCTGCTCGCTGGGCATACAAATTAAATCTGCACTCACTTACTGCAATTTATAGTCTGGTGTGAGATAATTTATGGAAGATGAATATATAGTTTTGAACCTGATAGTCCTTTGATTACTGAACTGTGAATTATACATTTTTCCATGAGTGTTTTAAAATTTGACACCTATATCTACAAAGACACCTAACTGGACAAATAGGAATTAGGTGTCTAAATCTATTTTGATGGCCAAGAGTTTGTTATCACTATCACTTAGACTTGCGAAGTTTTAAAATAAAACGGTAGTCCCTAGTTAGGTTTTTGGAGATGTTTTAAGCGGTCAGTGTGACTCAGGCTCTGGTTTTGAGTGCCAGGTTGTGCTCTGAAAGAGCCTTAGAGAAATGCTTCTGCTCTAGGTCTTGACTGGAATTCAGTATATGGCCAGTGCTGAATTTTCTTCTTTACCAAGACAAAGGCATGGAAAGAGGAACCTGGAGAATCAAGAAGTAAAAAGCTTAAGTGCCTATGAAGCTGATCACATTTGGAGTTGGAAAGCCATTTAATCAGGGGTTTTGCAGCCTTGGGTGCATCTGCTTTAAACATCCAAATATTTTGTCGGGTCTGATTCGTCCAAACTTACTGAAGACTTTTGTGTGCTGAGTGGAGCACTGCTGTTGGAAGTGTAACGTGGTGGGGCACTGCTTTTGGAAGTGTAACGTGGTGGTGCACTGAACAGTGTCATAGCTGTGCTTTCATCAGAGGATAGTCAGAGGTCATCAAGAGCTCAGGAGTGAATACTCATGACCTTCAGAGTACAGATCAACAAGACCTGCAGTATACTTCACTCTCTTATTCTTGGCAGACAAATTACAGCAGTCATGTGTGGTTAAACAGGTGAATGATGTCCTTGAGACCTTTCCCACCAGTAGCAAGTCTTGTAGGCTCTGCCATTCTTGGGGTGTTCATCTTGATTTCCTCTTAATTCAATTATTTTTACAAACAATTAAGTGTATTCTATTTTGGTGAGAAGTCAGACAACTGAGTTCCAAGTGTGTAGATAACAAATAGCATTCATTAAAAGTCAAAAGGAGAGAGCAGGACAGCAAGGTGCAGAGATGCTGCTCATGTAGCTGACAGACACACATGGCTTGGCACAGTGCTGTCTGTTGTCCTTGCTGCCACGATGGCTTTGTGTCATGGGCTACATTTCACCATCCCATCCTATGACTGTGACATGTTACAATACTGTAATAAAGTGATGTTATGCTGTGTAATCCTTCAACCAGTTCTTCCAGAGCTATGAAATAGTTTCCTAAGGGAAAGAAGCTCACAGATTTGAAAGTAGATGAATGAATTGCTGGGAAATGGGTTACAGACAGCAGTCGTGCTGCAGCTGTAAGGTAGATTTGATGATCTAGTAGGTCTGTGCCATCATGAGTGTATAATATGAAAAATTAAAGGGATGGTGTTAAGTAGTTCATGTACAAACCATTTCTTTCCTGTTATAAACTAGTGGGGAAAATGCCTTTCAAGTTTCTGATTTTTTCTTCTCCTAAGTCCACAATTGCTTCTCAGGATTTTTATTTAACAAGAGACAGCTGCTCGTCATGCATGACTATACCCAGTCTTTTTGTTCTGGTGCTGCAGAGCCAGCCAGCCAGCAGAAGGGGTACAAGGTAACTAATAAATCCTGGTCCCAGCATTGTGTGATGACACTGAGAACAAACAAGTATTTTTTAGTAGGTCATCCTCACAGTAGCTTATTGCTCCATGAAAGGAGCAAAAGGAGCAAAACAAGTAGGAAAAATACGTATTTCTGCTGAAAATAACATATTAAATAACAAGAGTAAGTGGAAAAGGAAGAACAAAATCAGGATGAAAAATACTTGGCAGTGCCCCTGTAAGGGTGAATGTGGTTGCCTGAAGGTTGGTCTCTGAACTGGAGAAATGATGAATGGTCAAAGACAGGTAAGGGAGATGGAGCCAGACAAAGGAGCAACACAGCCTTGGTGTAAGTCAAATAAAATAATAATTAACATGCTTTTTTTGGGCTTTGAGCATGGACTTTCATATTCTGTCCTATCATAACCACCTGAGGTTTTTTTGCTTGAGTATTTTAAAGGAATTTTTCATAAGAAGCAATTGAAAAATAGCACTGATTATAAAATAATGCATTTGTTACTAAATCTTCACAATAAAATGGAAAATACTCAGAACTCGCATAAGTTTATCCATGAACTTACAATACTGACATTCCTTAAACTGTGATGTCTTGTATGCAGGAGAATCCCAACTTTTTTATAAGGAAAAGGCAGAAAGGGAGAGAGGAACTTAGAGGTCAGAAAGCAAGTGAAAATAATTTCAAGGTTAGCCACCCCTTGATCTTCCTGAACACGCTTCTTTTGGGTCTCCTCACTGATTGTGTGGGTCACAGCCAAAGATCCTGACTTTCAGATTTTGTTTATATGCGTTGTCACATATGCACCTAGCTTAGTCCATGTCCTGCTTTTTCTTCATGTTGTATTGTGTGTTGTGGTGGAAGGACCTACCAAGCAAGAAATACAGTTTATACTAAAAAAAAAATATTTTAAACCCCACAGCTTTAACAATTGGTTGTAAAAATCAGGATTCTAAAAAGTTCTTCCCACAGTGTGAAGATCATCTTAAGAAAATTGTTCTGCACTGCCTGTCCTGGGACAATTAGTCAGGACCGCGAAGCAGTTACCAAGTCTGATTTCTCTTCTGCTCAAAATACAAGACAGTTTGGTCTTTTTAAGTCAGGATCTTACTTTTTTTAGATTTTTGTAGAAAGCATGGGAAATCACGATTTGGTCAGGAATTGGTCTTCTCAGACTGCCTCGTCCTGCAATGTGAGAGGCACCACTCTGGGAATTCAGACTGAGGAAATACTGACATATGGGAAAAATCACAAGTTGAAAGCTTGTCACTTACTTTGTCATTAAAGATATATGAAAAGGCACCTTGTCCTTGTAAAAACTAATGTTACCTCACAGAGCTGAGTTGCTGCCAGTGCTGCCAGCGAGCTCACCAGTAGCATTTGTTGAGGCAATTGCTCAGAAATCTTTGTGGAAGTGCCGAGATCCACAGACTTTTTGGGATAAGGGTTAAATAATCATAATAAACTTCAGTGTTGCTACTACGACACTTTAAATAACAAAACTGATAATCCCATTACATTATTACCATGTTTCTCCTGTACTCTTTCAATCCCATGTTTTCATTTTCCAGTCTTTTCCTGTCTTTTTTGATAGGCACTTATTTATAGATGTTTGTGGTGTCTTTTTTTTCCAAAGAAAAGTATTTCTCTTTGTATGTCCTTTCCAAGACAAATAATTAAACCCATAGTGTTTCATCTCCGATGTTAACGGAAATATTCTTATATCAAACAATAATTCCTTATAACATTCACTTCAGCATCTGTTTGGCACATTCTGTTTTGGTAGCACCCCTTTTCCACATCTGCCAATTTAAATACTGGGAAAAAGGAGATGTCAATTTAAGTGTTTGGAATAAATATGGAAAGTACCCCCCAAAATGGTCCTTGTGTTGGCCCTCTTGATGTCCTTCCCACTGCAAAGGCAAAACAAAACCTGCATAGGTCTTAACAGCAGAACCATAAGGCTATAAAAAAGTAAGATACATTCACCGTAGGCACTATTTTCTAAAATAACAGACACTGGTTTTGCACTTCTTAATAAGTCTTACCAATCACAAAAGCTTCTCATTATCTTTGGTATTTATACCCAAGAGCACAAAGAGCAAATATTTTTTAAAATGACCAGTCTTCAACTTTTTTTAAAATAAAATATTAGGAAGAACATGGAGAATTCTTTGCATGGTTTTGCTCACTGCTAACAAATGCTGACAGGATGTGAGAAGAAAATGTAGACAAGAACAATTTTAGCAGTTGCTAAAAATTATGTTAACCATATAAGTAATGCAGTTAATGCTTTCAAATAAGATAATTTTGAACTAGAGGAAAGCCTAATCTGTGTTTTATTAATAAACCTAAAATACAAATATTAAACCTTACCAAGTCATTAATTTCACCTGGAGGAGAGGTTATGTTAAATTGCCCATTACAAAAATTCTGCACGTTAATCACAGTAATCATATTCTTACAAACCCCTTTATTTTGGAAAAATATACTTCTAAGTATTTGACATAGTTAGGCACAGGTTTATTATCTATTTTATTATTTATAACTATTGCACGTATTTTTTTTTTAGCAGGAGTGTTCTTTTTTATATCTTTATATGTTGTTTATTCTTTGGGGGTTTTATATATCTTTTTTAGTTCTGTAATTCAAAAAACCCTACATATTTGCGGTACAGTACTGTCTCTGAGCTTTAGTTGTGTACTGGCTTCTTGTATGGTAGCTGCTTCATAAAGAGCATACAAAATGTGATCCTGTTGACTTTTCAGTCAAACTCTTTGCATTTACCCTTGTCTTTGTTGTTTGTATTGTTATCCTATTAAGTAAATTTGATGGAAAGTGAAAACAGGTATGAGTTTCATTTATTTGTATCGCTTGCTTTTTTAGTAAATTCAGTGTTGTTACTAGTTTCTGGACTATTGCAACTTCTTTGAATCCTTGCTGTAATTTGCAGTTCTGTGAGTTCAGTTGGTATAAATAGTAATTGTTACACTGCTGCTTTAGCACAATTTTGTCTTGAAGACAAAACACAGTTTCTGAAATTGAATAGATTTTTCATACTTATGCAGGATGTGAAAAATCGACGAAATCCTCGCCTTGTACCTTATGCACTTTTGGATGATAGGACAAAAAAGTCAAACAAAGACAGCCTTAGGGAAGCAGTTCGCACCCTGCTAGGCTATGGTTACAACTTGGAAGCTCCTGATCAAGATCACGGTAATTAATTTTGCTGTTTTGGTCTTTTCTCTCTCTCAAAAAATGAGAATATTGCACTCTGAATTTGTTGGTCCAATAAAACAATCTGAACAGATATGGTGTCTCCAAAGTTAACAGGTGCTGCTTTTCATCTTCTGTTGTTTAAATTTCTGTTTGATCTTGCTTTCCTTATTGTTTCCTTTTCTTGTTTTGTGGCCTCAAATGAAGAATCACAAAATTAAACATTTTTACATATTTAATCAGTGATACAATTCCTCTGTGTTTCATATACTTGCTTTCACTGTTTGTTTTCTAGATTTGGTAGTTCAGATAAATAAAAACTGAAAGCATAAGCGATTTAAATCAGGACTGTGAATACTACAAGACACAACCCTAAAATACAGAAAATCAGGAAAACATATTTATCATCTTGCTTAATATATGGTCTTATGCTAGGGAATTAAATTTGTGGTTACATTTTAAATACATGCATAAATACCTGAAGTTTCCCAATCTAAGTTGAATAGACTGTAAGTGAATTTTAAGTCACTTACAACGTTTTTGCATCACTGCCAGATTAACTATTTTATTGATACCACAGGCAGTATTTTCATCATAAGGAGAAAAAAATGGAAAAGAATATAAACTTTTAATAAGGAAGTTTTAAAGAAGCAATACTCAACATTTACATCAATAACTGCAGAATATGAAATATTAAGAAAGTAAAAGAAATTAGGAGACAATGTCCAAATAAAATATATACTCTTACAAATTATGGCTTTTAAAGCAGCAGTTTTAAAGTCATGCTGAGATCAAGTGGTAAGATGGAACATGAGAGAGATACTCTTGGCGCTGTGCTGTCCTTCTGAAGTGCTAACTGTACATGTATAGAGAGGGAGTGATAATGTAATAGATATAACCCCTCAGCAACCATATTCTAGAATTTCACTTGGAGATATGGAAATATGGAATAATTAAATCAAAATTGAAACGTACATCCTTATAATCTCAGCAAAGTGTGGATCATTTGAGAAATATCCTATCAATATATTGATTAATAAATGATTTTCACCTGCTTTATATAGTGATGGTATTGTTAAATTTGGATCTGTTTAGAGCATAGACCTTCAGTAAAGCATTTCTGCAGAAAATGTAACTCAAACCCAAAATGTATGCAGGGAACCTGCAATTTTCAGTTTCAGAACTGCTGGAAGTTTTGGTTTTTTTCCCTTGTGTTGCAGAGGCCTTTGAGCTGGTTACTAATGACGTGTAAAGAACACAGTTGCAGTCCTTATGTCTGAGTGGTGTCATCACACCAGTCCTGTTGCAAAACTCCCAGGGGAAAGGAGCTGCGGGACAGTGTCCCCCAGAGTGGTCTTTCTTAAACAGAGACTGAAATTGCTTTCAGCAAAAGATTTTTGTAGTCATTTTGAGGATTTAGATTTTACAGTTTATGAGGTGCTCATTTTTGAGATGTGTAAAACATGTCATAGGGATGCCCTTTCATCAGCCAGAATCGATCCTGTTATTAAAGGTTTTACAGCCCTCTAGTGGAGTTCTGCATCTCCACTCATTAATTTAATTTTAAACATTGATTTACAAAGCTCTGTAGCATTGTTTTTAATACTTGATTATTATTACTTTACTCTTTTATATATATATATATCTCTATCTCACAGCAATGAGACTGGATGTGTGCAGTGGGCTAATGGAAAAATTCAGGATCTTCCGCACAGAAAAGACATATGCAGTGAGGGCGGGGAAGTGGTACTTTGAGTTCGAGGCAGTCACTGCAGGAGACATGAGAGTTGGCTGGACCCGGCCAGGCTGTCTGCCAGATCAGGAGCTTGGCTCAGATGAAGAAGCTTTTGTTTTTGATGGCTTTAAGGTTTGTATATGTTTATCTGTAATAATATGAGTGATTGCAAAACTTTTAATTTTGCCTCTTATTCCACGTGTCATTGCCTCAACTAAATCACCTTCTTTCATTTGTGTTTTTTGAAATAATTTCTCTCTCTCTGTGAGGGCCTAGGTGGAATAAGGAGGATCAGTGTCACCTGAAAAATTATTTAGCAGGATTTTGCATTTTTATAATTTATTTAATAGTTTCACAGTGTTTGTACAGTATATATAAGGCACTGAAATTCCAAGTGACTTACTCAAATTCAAAATACTGGCAAAGCTGTAATTAACTATGAATCCCTTTAATTTTTTACTCTGCTGTTCTCTATAAGAAGTGCCATTAGGGAATAAATATGATTATTATTTTTATTAGCTGTAAGTGTTGAGCCAAACTTTGATGAAAGTTTTTTATAGGAATGGAAAAATTACAAAAAGTACTCCTAGGTTTGTGTGGAAATCCTTACAGTTTAGAGTAAATGAAGTATGAAAGAACTAGTAATTTTTGCTAAAATTTAAAATTTAACTCTGCATGGGACAATGACAGATTGAAACCTAGTAATAAAATTATACAGGAAATCAAACTATTTTATGTGTTACTGATTTTCATCAAATAGTTTAAATGACTTATTAAAACTTTTTATTTTGGTATGAAGTGGAACCAGTATTCAAACTATTGCTAATTGCTGTTAAGGCTACTGATGAATCATGTCAGAATGTTTTATGTATCTGATATTGAAATTAATTTCTTTTATTACTATTACAATTTGTAACAGAAATCAACAGTACTCCTGGCTCTTCCTGGTCAGATCAAGCTCTCAAGCTGAAAAGTTGTTTTGTAAAATAACTGATTTGTTTAAGTAAACTATTCAAGTCCTATGTCTTTACTGGAATTTGCTGTGTAGCAGTTTGCCTTCTTAAAACTGGGTTTTGACCATTAGGTCTCAATCCACACAGCTATTTTGTTGTCTTGAATTTTGATGGGATCTTTCCTTGGCTGGTGAAAAGTTTTTGACCTTCAGGATTCAAAGAAAGGTTCATTTGGCATTGTAATTGATAGGGTATTATTTTCATTACAAGTCTTTCATGGAGCTTCTGCAGGAAAATAAGCCATGCTCCTACTTGTTACTAAAAGGTTGTAATAGCAGTTTTCTCTGTCACCTTGCTTAGCAACATTTTACAATACTGAAGTGAGGGGTACGTGGAGGAGATTAATTGTTGGATTTCCATTTTCAAAGTCAACTTGGAGTACTCATAGGCATTATTTTGGAATGATACGCTGTGGAAGCATTAATTTTAGGATCATCTTAATTGAGGAGGCTAATTGTTGTACCACTAAGGGAGAGAGAAACATATATGTTGTCACTATTACTCTTTGAAATTCTTTTAAATCCTTTTCAGGCACAGCGGTGGCATCAAGGTAATGAGCATTTTGGCCGCTCTTGGTCAGCAGGAGATGTTGTTGGATGCATGGTTGACATGAATGAGCACACCATGATGTTCACCTTAAATGGTGAAATCCTGCTTGATGACTCAGGTTCTGAACTTGCATTCAAGGACTTTGAGGTTGGTGATGGTAAGTACTGTAATACATTGTGCTGTTAATTTGCTGCTGTTGTCCAGTTTATGTGCTGTGCTTTTGTTTTGTTTTTTTCGTCCCTCTGTCCCTTTCTCTAGGGACCTACCCCATGTTGTTCTCTCTATTTGATTAGTGTCAAGCCTTTGGAAAGCAGATGTGATGAGTGTGAGGATGAGGCAAGGCCTTTTTCTGTGGCGAACTTTGCAGCCAACTTTTGTGGCCATACCTTTTGGCTATTTTGCTGGAATGTGTATGGAGTAGCAAATTCATGAGTTTAAAATCTCCACTGCAGCAGCTTGCTATATGACATGACAGAATCATAGAATGAATCATGAACTGATTTGGCTTGAAAGGGACCTTTGGAGATCATGTAGTCCAACACCCTACTGAGCCAGGACGTAAAGTTTTATCTAGATCAAGTACTGAAATACTACAAAATTTCTGTCAAATTAGTGAGAACATATCATAGAGTGTTCAAGCCAGCTTTAAGGTTTTGTTTTAGCTTTGGGAGGAGAAATGACACCTTATCCAGGATAAAGTCAGCTGGTACAATATTGGCCTCCATGATTTTTTACTTCAATCTAAACCCGCAGATTGTGCCAGTTGTTGTTGTGTTCTTGGTGCAGCTTTTGGGGTGCATGAGCAACGTTTAGTTTCCCATGAAGCCATGACTTATGAGATTGCAAAAGATAGTAAAGATTGTGAGGTTGTGTCAAGTGCCAGTTTGATTCTATAGCACAAAAGTATTTTTGTTTATAAATATAATTACATACTTGTTTTTGAATAGATACATAAAAGGGTAAGAAATCGCATTAATGTAGACAGCTTCCTAAAATTTCTGAGCTATGTTAATGTAAAAAGATGATTTAAGCTTTAATCTTTCTTTTTCATTTGTTTTAGGTACATATATTCTGCCATATATATTAGCCATCTGTTAAATAATACATCTGTGTGTGACAGATAAAGTTAAATTTTTTGAACAGTAACATCAGCAAATTATACTTTGGGGTTACTGATCCCTATTCTCAGAGGAAATATTAATCTTATACCTATTAATTAAGCAGTTCCCTGCTTGAATTTTAACCACTTTATTTTCGTCTCTATTTCGGAGTATTTTACTTTCAGGAGTGCTTTGGGAGAAGAATTTTTTGTCCCTTCTTCTGCCATACCATAGCAATTAGGAATAATTTTATTTCATTTAAAATGAGATAATTGCCACCAATTTTCTAGACTCATGCCTGTTACTTTACTGCCTTCAGATTTCCTTAGATACTGTGATAACATGGTGAGGGGAAGGGGTGGGTGAATTACCTTACTTTTAGTGGTGTAGGCATTAAATCATCCTTGTGCCATTAAATTATAATGGTTCTCCAGTTCCCAGGCAGTAAAATCCCATTGAGGAGTGAGAGATTCTGAGAGAAATGGGAATTGCATGAAATCCCAAGGGTAGACTGTTTGACTGCTGTTTTGATTTCAAAGTTGATGAAATCCCAGTAGTGTAGTCTTCGCGATGCTTGTTTCTAGCTGGATTTTCATGACAGGGAGGGGAGGAGGGCGTCTGTATATATGTGCTTGTATGTATGTACTTGCAAACACAAGTATCAAATACCCAAAATGAATACGACTTTTATCAAGCTTTCATTTTTTAGTAGGCTGGTTTTAGTTTGGTTTTGCTCTCATAGGAGCATTGAGACTTTTCTGCAGGTCACTTCTCGGTGAATCTTGTGTATGCCATGTACTGTTGCAGAAACAGACCTTTGCCTTTAGAAAAATGAGGCTCCTCAGGATTATGGCAGTGGCTTGTTTGTGAGACACCATCTGAGTAGTAGAATTGTTAAACATAATTGCATATTATTACGCATTTGTGCAAGAGAAATTTCATACTATAGATATGAACAAGTACACTGTGCAAATGTCGCTTTCTCAGTTCGTGATCTCTGTGAGTGGGAACTGTCTGTAGGCAGAAAGTTCATCTTGTACTCCCAAAAGTGAGGAACATTATAAAAAGTGTTGCTGTCCTATGCTTTTGCCACATCTGACAGACAATGCTAGAAAGACACTTTTCTGGTGGTAGTGTTAGTCTTTCTACTTGTTTTGCTAAGGTGAAAGTTTTGCTCTATAGCCCAGTTATCCACCTGGAGAATATTGCAAATAGTTACATTTTATTGATATATGTGTGTGTGTGTGTGTGTGTGTGTGTGTATAAAATATTTGCTTCATATCTAAGAATGAATCTATCTGCGAGATCTGTTTTTCTGAGCCCATCAGAAAATGAAGAGGTAGAAAAATTAACGGTATACTTGCATTCTGTTTAAGAAGGGTAAGTATTAGTAATATTTAAAATATTTTAAGTATTCCTTTTTGATTTAGTTTTGTGTCATGTATAAATCTCAGTCTTCATGAATAGAGATGATAATTCTTTTCTTGGATTTTGGGCTACATTTAATTATCTAATCAGCTTTTTCTACAAGGTATGCTTTCTGAATTCTACTGATATCGTCAGTTGCTAATGTTTTTTTTGTTTGTTTTGTGAAGTGATTGCTTCCTGTTTGATTGGAGGGCTCTAACAAAGCAGAACTGGTTATGGGTTAATTCTCAAGGTGCTGGAGATAGAGCTCGCTACTTCCTTTCATGAAATGTGCAGAAACTTTTGCAGGAACATAAACCAATTGTTCATATCTATAAATGCAAAAATAAATAAAGTTACAGATATAGATGATATAGATATACATATGGCATGTTCACAGCTGATCACTTTACACCTCCTTGTCTTTGCTTTTCACATCTCTGCTGCTATGGGAAAGAGAACCCCACAGCATTCCTGTGAGGGGGATGAGGAGGTTTCTTCAGTTTGAAATTTGCGACCCAACAGTTTCTTTGAAGGAACAGTAAGAGAGCAGATGCATACAAGCGTGAAGCTCATTCAAAAGTAAAAAACAAAAAAATCCAGCCCAAACTCAAAAATGAACTACTGTTTCAAGAAGCTGCAGTTCTCATAATATTGTCAGTTCTCATCATCCATTGCATTTATACTGTTTTTTGTTTTGTTTCAGTTTTTTTTTTTGAAACTATTTTTAATTTGGTTATGGAAGAGAGCAGTTTTCTGATGTTCACTATGTATAACCCATGTGTTCTTTCACCTTGTTTTAAGGATTTCTACCTGTGTGCAGCCTGGGCCCATCTCAAGTGGGAAGAATGAACTTTGGAAAAGATGTCAGCACCCTAAAATATTTCACTATCTGTGGCTTACAGGAAGGGTATGAACCCTTTGCTGTTAATACCAACAGAGACATCACCATTTGGCTGAGTAAAAGGCTCCCTCAGTTTCTACCAGTGCCGCAAAATCATGACCATATTGAGGTTTGTGATCCTGTTTAAATGTTTGTAGACACTTCCTCCATTAATATATTTGAATTATGTTTCTACTTTTGCACTTCTAGACAAGCTTTTTAGTGCAATATATTGACCCAATTCTGGATGAAACTTGCACCTGTTACGAATTTCTTACATTTAGTTGCAAATAATGTAATTATTTGATTATTAGTATTTCTTTGTGAAGTCTGTCATGTGTGCAAACATGAGATTCTCAGAGGCAAATTCTACAGCATGTCCTCTTTAAGAGCTCCTTGTGCAGTGAGAGCTATGTTTGTAAACAACATCCAGAAACTGGGTGTTTTTACTTAACAGATACCATGTGTTCTGGTGCACACAGTTTGTGAAGTGATTTTCCCATAGCTAATTGGTTTTGATTTTAATAAATATTTATTAGCCAATTGTGTCAGCACTTATGTCCCAATCAGTTGTGCATCTTAATGGAACTGAACTCATGCTGTGTAAGTCTACCAGGAAATTCTGATGAAATTGATGAAACTATAACTTTTTCAGCTGATATGTATCACACTGTAGTATTTAAGAAGTAATTTGTGTTCTTGTGTATGAACTTGTATGATTTATATTAGTCGGCTTGTGTTGTTCTGGGCAGAGTTGGATTTATATTGCAAAGGACATGATGAGAAAGGTCATTTTTTGTAAGTAGGTTTTTTATTTAACAGCAGAACAGCAAAACCCTGGACTCCTTACAGTATGTATTTCTACATACTATGATTACAATACATTTGAATGTTGGCAGCAGACTGTTGCAGATGTTGCAAGTCATGGATGCTTATTCTAAAAATATAAGTTGAATATTTATAAGAGGAAAATATCATCAGCTTCAGAACTACATCTTTACATTTGATAGGTGATGAGGATTGATGGTACCATAGACAGCTGCCCCTGCCTGAAGGTCACGCAAAAGTCCTTTGGTTCGCAGAACAGTAAAACAGACGTGATGTTTTTTCGGTTAAGCATGCCCATTGAATGTGCAGAGGTGTTCTCCAGATCAGCTGCAGGAGGGTTACCAGGCTCTGGTCTTTTTGGCCCCAAGAATGACTTGGAGGATTATGATGCTGATTCTGATTTTGAGGTTCTAATGAAAACTGCTCACGGTCATCTCGTCCCCGACCGGACAGAAAAAGAAAAAGATGCCACAAAACCAGAGTTAAACAACCATAAAGATTATGTTCAAGAAAAGCCTTCACGTCTTAAACAAAGGTTAGTAGAACATTTCACTTGCTTTCCCCAAACCCTCTCCTCCTCCTTTTTTTTGTTTTGTTTTGTTTTTTTGTTAACTTTCCCTAATTTTTCTGATGGAATAAGGAGCAGAGGACCTGGCTTCATGATGCTGTGGAGATGCAAACACTTGGCTGTTACCCAGACAATGTTACTGCATTATGTATTCAGGGATAATGTATCAACTTCTTTGTTTATATATAGATATATTGAGCTTTTCATATAGTTTTTTATTTCCCTTATTTTATTACAGGTTTATGCTCAGGAGGACAAAGCCAGATTATAGCATGAGTCACTCTGCACGGCTTACTGAGGATGTGCTAGCAGATGATAGGGATGACTATGATTATTTGATGCAAACTTCCACGGTATCGTAACATGGGATTGGTATTTTAGCTGTTTGCTTTTCCTTTCTTTCTTGTTTTAAATGGCTACATGTTTTTGCTTGTAAGAGTTTCAGAAACTGTGTAATTTTCAGGCATGATTTTTAATTTAAATGTGTGTAGTAGTCCTGATAACACCAAACAGAAGGGAGGATGAATAAGTAGTTCTAGAATAATGTAATAAATAGGAAAAAGTGCACTGAACGAGTAAGACAATATTCAGGACCATTTGAAAACATCTATACTAATTTTACTCAGTGTTTATTTCATGGAATTCCCAGTGAAAATTTTGTGCATCTTTCTCTGACAAGATCAGCTTCATAAGAACTCATTTATCAGTGTTCAAAGGAAAAAATACTCATCTTTTGGATGTATTTTCCTCTTTCTAAAAGATATTGGATACTAGAAATGGAGTCATCTACAGTATAGAATCTGTAGCTGCAGTACAGGAATAGCCTACAGTGCTTTGATGCAGAAGCCTACAATACAAGCATCTAAGCCACATCTTTTAACTTTTCCAGTTTTTGTTTCATCTGTATTTTGATTTGTGTTTATATTCTTTTGTTGCATTGCTTATAAAGTGGACTTATACAAGCCTATGCTGCTTTTGAAGAGATGAAATATTTGTAGATTTTAGAACAGCAAATTAATTCTGAATCAAACTGATACACTGGAAATGAAATGCTAATGTTTACTGACAGTATGTTTTTATTGACAGTACTATTATTCAGTGAGGATATTTCCTGGTCAAGAGCCTGCTAACGTCTGGGTGGGGTGGATTACATCTGACTTTCACCAGTATGACACAAGCTTTGACTTGGACCGAGTGCGTACGGTCACAGTTACACTGGGAGATGAAAAAGGGAAGGTTCATGAGAGGTTGGTTATGATTTTCTTAAAATACACATTTTGTATCCATAAGAGCAACTAAAAATTTATAAACTGTAAATCCACCCCATTTAATATAATTGGGTTAATGTAAAAAGAAAAATAATAGGAAAAAGTGTAACTTTGCTTATTTTCTCCTATTGCTTGTGAAGAAACAGTGGAGTAATGATCTAATCAAATAAATAGGCACTGAAAAGTAAAATAGTGCAGCTTTTCCATGTATTTTCAAATCATGATCCTGTAAATACAGACTTCTGAACTGGTAAAGAGTAGAGCAAAATACCTTGTAGTATTTTTGGAATTTTTTTGGTTTTGAGTACAGCAGCAGCTCCTGTCAGCACTTAAGCTTGTGATCCATGCCAGAAACATTGACTTGCAAAGTCAGTTTTGTCTCTTGGAATTTTGCAAAAGATTTGAGCGTGTTCATATCTTATCATCTTCAGTTTTTGTTGAGTTTTTCTATTTTGGTTTTTTTCAATGATGGGAAGTTTAGGTTTCATTGCATTTTGGCGTTGGTTGTGGTGGGATCCGCTGTTTTCAGCCAGAAGGCCCTGTTTGCAGCCACACAAAATTGTTCTTAGTCCATTACATAAAGTCTATATGCACCATCCATAAATAAATTTGTCTTTTGGCATTCAGTATAAAACGCAGCAACTGCTATATGGTGTGCGCAGGAGAGAGCATGAGCCCTGGGCAAGGACGTAATAACAACGGCCTGGAGATTGGTTGCTTGGTTGATGCCGCAAGTGGCCTGCTGACCTTCACAGCTAACGGCAAGGAGCTGGGCACGTACTACCAGGTGACTGTGTTTTGATAGTGTCGTCTGGGGGAAGACGGAAAGCCACATCCTCAGGGGACCTCTTACTAGAAACTTTGGTACAAGATTGGAAAAAAAGTAATTGTCACTGTTGTGACAGTGATTTTTCCCTCTTATTTGGATTTTCTGGGGTTTTATTCAAAGACTTGCACTTATTGACTGTCAATACAGATATAAGGGTTTTTTTAATATGTAATATTGTTTTGCTGTCTTCAATGGTTATATATTTGTGCATTTTTTACTTAGGTTGAACCGAGTACAAAGTTATTTCCTGCTGTATTTGCTCAAGCTACAAGCCCCAATGTTTTCCAGTTTGAATTGGGAAGAATAAAGGTAAATAATGCTTGGTTTTGTGCAGGTTGAGGACTAATATATCGTATCAAATAATGTTGTTATTTTTTGAGCCATTTATTGCCTGCAACGTGTTCTTGGTATTGGACACATCTTTATGATTCCAAGTGTTTGCACTATTGCCAGTTTTATTCATAACTCGGTTTTAAATACGTCTTGTATTTAAAATACAGTACATTGAATGAGAAGGGCTGTAACTGATTCAATTTGGCAGCAGATCCTGCAAAGTCCCATTGAATTTTCTGAATCTCATCCTACATGATGAATTGAAATCACTGGGGTTAGTAAGGCAAATCTCTTATTCTACAAAGTATGGATGACCAGTGTATCTGCAGATTAGAGTAGGGTTTTAAAATAGTTTTAAAGTATATTTAAACATGGATGTCTAAGAAATCAGAAGAAGTAAAAGAAGAGTGGAGTTCAGATCTCTGGTCGAAGGAAGTGACCACACATTCCATTCAAGTTTATATTTCAAATTTAGCTATTTTAAAAAATTTGTTATGGACAATGCTTTCTTGCTGCTAATCTGCCAACCATTACTAGCTGGTTTTACAAACTACTGAAACAGTTAATTTCCTGTTGCACTCCACTTTACTACATATTGAACATATTTCTTGAAAAATATGTATTCATTTTTTGGTAAGGGTAATGAAGCTGACTGTCTCTACTGTTGGAATTTTCCAGAATGTAATGCCATTGTCTGCTGGCTTGTTCAAAAGTGAACACAAAAACCCGGTCTCTCAGTGTCCTCCGCGCCTCCATGTCCAATTTCTGACCCATGTGCTTTGGAGTAGAGTGCCAAATCACTTCCTGAAGGTTGATGTCTCGCGGATCAGTGAGCGTCAAGGCTGGATGATACAGTGCCTGAATCCTTTGCAGTTCATGGCCCTTCATATCCCTGAAGAAAACAGGTTGATCTTTCTGTTGAACTGTATCAGAGTTAGGTTGGGATTAAACATGTAATAACATTACTGTAAGAAAATGTGTATTTGTAACACACGTAGATAAAGGTAGTGTGTTTTGATTTAGCTAATATTAAAAAAAAATCAATCTTCTTTTCAGTGTTTTAAAATCTGATTCCTTTTGTTGTGTTTTGAACCTCTCCTAGTTTCTCTCCAAACTCTTTGATAGTATATATAGGCTTTGAATGCAAATGAAAGAAACTCTGATTATAAATTATTAAATATAATCCGTAAGATAGGCAAGGATCTGTTTTTATAGATTTTTTAAAGATTTGTTACCAATTTAATTATTTCACTACTTTACTTTTTCTAAATTTAAACAACTGAAGAAATTTAACTTTGTGATTTTCTTGTTACCCACTAGTGTTTTACCAGTGCCAAAACTGAAAATAAAATCACTAAAAAATTAGGTAAGAATTCTAAACAAACAACCCTGCCCCGAAGCTTCTACAAATGATCTTTTTAGTCTGTTGCCAATTTGCAACCCCATATCCAAAACCAATAAATGATACAAATATCTCAACCTATACCAGTTTTAAAACCTTCATTTTCAGTTATCCAAATTCTTGTTTGCGGTATGAAGTATTTTGTGTTAAGTAAATAATTTTGATTTTTCGTCACTGAAAACATTTGAAGATGTACTTTAGGAGTGACTTGAATAAATTCCTGATTGAACTTCGTTGTTAGTCCCGATTCTTAGGGTGACATTGTTTCTCACATGAAAGCTGCAATGTGGAAAAAGTCCCTCTCTAGTACAGATGTTGAGCCAGTGTTTTCCTGAGGGAAAATTTTTAATTTCTTCACTTAAGTCAGTTTTTGCACTGATAGGGAATTTACTGTACTGTTTTTTATTTGCAGAACAATTGATATTTTGGAGCTGACAGAACAAGAAGAATTGCTGAAATTTCACTACCATACCCTCCGGTTGTATTCAGCTGTTTGTGCTTTAGGCAACAACCGTGTTGCCCATGCTATGTGTAGCCACGTGGATGAATCTCAGCTCCTGTATGCTATTGAGAATAAATATATGCCAGGATTGTTACGTGCAGGATATTATGACTTACTCATTGACATCCATCTCAACACCTATGCAACTGCCAGGTTAATGATGAATAATGAATTTATAGTTCCAATGACAGATGAGACCAAGAGCATTACTTTGTTTCCTGATGAAAACAAAAAGCATGGCCTCCCTGGTATAGGACTTAGCACTTCATTAAGGCCAAGAATGCAGTTTTCCTTGCCAAGTTTTGTAAGCATTAGCAGTGAATGCTTTCAGTTCAGTCCTGAATTCCCACTGGAGGTCTTAAAGGCAAAAACCATAGAGATGCTGACTGAAGCTGTTCAGGAGGGCAGCCTCCATGTCAGAGATCCAGTTGGAGGTTCCACTGAGTTTCTCTTTGTTCCTCTCATCAAGCTCTTTTATACCCTCCTAATAATGGGGATATTTCACAATGGGGATCTGAAACACATCTTGCAGTTGATTGAGCCCCGGGTTTTCAAAGAAGCAGTGAGCCAGGAGGATGAAAAATATTTCTCAGAGAAGGAGTTGAGTTCAGATGTGCTGAAGGCAGAAGAAGGAGAGGAAGAAACCAGAGGGGAGCAAGTACCAAAGGAAGGACTCCTCCAGATGAAGCTTCCAGAACCTGTCAAATTACAGGTAACAATACTGCAGTGATAGTGGTTGTTCCTATTTCTTCACAGACCCTTTTTTCTTCATTTAGTAATTTGTTTTTCAAGAAATACAGCATTTTGATGTTAGTTAAATAGAGAAATAATTTCCTTGCAGGTAATAAGAAGATTTAGGTTCTTCCTGATGATACAAACTTGTTCATCGTATATCAAACACCTGTTCTTTCATTAAATAGAATTACTTTCTCAATGAAATTGGCAGGGAATTCTTGGTTTTATGGATCCAGAACCAGAAATTCCCTGGAAGCACTGAGTAAATCCATTCTCCTTTAACTTTTATTAAAGTCTTACGTTTTATGTCTGAGGCACATAAATCTCTTGGAGATGCCAGATATTCCTCGAGTAAGATCGCTTCACATGTGACAGCTTTAAAGATCTCAGTCACTTTAATTGCTGCTGTAAGAATTCTGTCCTTATTTGCATAATATATAGATGATACTGCTTAGCTTGCCAACTCTTCTTTCTCTTATGATACTGTTTTCTCAGATGTGTCATCTACTGCAGTACCTGTGTGATTGCCAGGTACGACACCGAATAGAAGCCATTGTGGCATTTTCGGATGATTTTGTGGCCAAACTTCAAGAGAATCAGCGCTTCCGGTACAATGAAGTGATGCAGGCCTTGAACATGTCTGCTGCCCTGACGGCTAGAAAAACAAAAGAATTTCGGTCTCCACCTCAGGAGCAGGTACAGCTTAGAATGGAAAAAATTATTTTTTGTTGTGCTCTGTGTGTGGCAGAGTTCTGTTTGGTTTAAAAGTTTTTTCTTTTGGAGACCACTATCATTTGCCTTTCCTTTGTGTTCTTCAAGATTAACATGCTACTGAACTTTAAAGATGATAAAAATGATTGTCCTTGCCCTGAAGAAATTCGTGATCAACTCTTGGATTTCCATGAAGACCTAATGACACACTGTGGTAAATCTTGTTACTGAATATTTTTACTTTTTAAATTAAAATGGCTTTACAAGCAATTTTTCTAAATAATTTTGCATAGGAAACATCAACTAAGTAGTCTATAGATTACACTATATCAGTTACACATACTTTCAAATAAAGATACTCAGCTTGTAGTAAAAATTTTATTCTTTTACTATTCAGTGTATTTTTTTTTATTTCAGGAATCGAACTAGATGAAGATGGAACCTTGGATGGAAACAGTGATTTAACCATTCGGGGGCGCCTCCTATACCTTATGGAAAAAGTTACATATCTGAAGAAGAAGCAAGCTGAGAAGCCACTTGATGATGATGCTAAGACATCCTGTAAGCAAATTTAAATCAGTTTATTGTATCCTAATTCCAAATGGCTAAAGAAACAGGAGGAAGTTCTTAATATATTTGCAGCAAAAAACTGGGATTGAGTGCTCCCTCAGCAAGTTTGCAGATGACACTAAGTTGGGAGGGAGTGTTGATCTGCCTGAGGGTAGGAAGGCTCTACAGAGGGACCTGGATAGGTTGTATCAATGGACTGAGGCCAACTGTATGAGCTT